ATTAAACTTTAGATAGCCATGAACATTTACGTTTACGTCATTGAGAGCATTTCTCTCTCTTATTTTTCTTTTTCAATTATTCCTCCACCACTTTCTTTATAGAAAATATTTACGCCTGTAAAAGATCTTTAAAATGGATAAACAACAACAAGGTAAGACTACAACACCCGCAGCTGCATTCCTGACTCTTTGCGAGAGGCGCATGGGTTGCTCTAGAGCATGAGCTAACCACGCGTGTTATTCTGAAAGTCAAAATCTCTAGATGCTTCCACAAACGTGATCTACCGCAGAGTTCATTTTGATGTTTACAAAAAATGTTACAGCCTGCTTAACATAACGTCAAAGATAACCAATCAACTGTTTTCTTTAAACAGCCACGCCGACTTTATCCTCTCTTTGATTAATTATTTATCAGCGTTTTCCTGCAAGCTCGATCTTTTGGGGGCAAAACTTCTGGATAGTTGATAATGACCAGAAAAAAATTGTTTTCCCCACAGAATTTTAGCTTTTAATACGTATTTACTTAATTGTTTAATGGTAAAATAGATCTGAATAACTTCTTCGCAAAAATAAAATTGAGGAAGTTTCGATCCCAGGAACCGCATTTTGTGATGAAACTAATCTAGAAAGTTTCCACAAGTACTTACTTCTCCCAAAATCTTGGTTCACTTTAATTCTTGGACTTCTTTGAGCTATACTTATCAACAAAATATCAAATTTGTTTGCACTCGACTTTCTTCCAATGATCACAATACATTTCAAATCACAGCCCTATCGATGAGTTGAATTAGGACCGAATTTTCGGTTCAACCTTGCTTTCCATCAATTGTGGACTCCCTCAGCCTTCTTTATAACTTACTCTAGTGTATATGTACTAAGTGTATATGTACTAAGTATAAATGCGCATGTCCTCAATAAAGGACCGTCCTTTACATTTAGTAAGATTGTCTAAACACCTTTCCACCAAACGTTATAACTCCTGGATGGAAAAAGGCTCTGTGAGGATAGAACATATAGCACAGTCGCTGGTCCAAAGCAATGACCACTGAGCCATCGTTAGCTCTCAAACACACGACCATGAAAATTTAAAATGAATTCTGCCTTCAAGAATCAATAAAATCCTTCATTGAGGTTCAACGCAATGATCACTGAGTCCAGAGAGTCCAAAAAGCACCTCGACAAGATAACCCTAAGGGCACGCTGGGGAATGGCCAGGAACTCAATCAAGCATACCAAAGAAGAGACAGAAGGGACAACACCATGTAGATTGTGCGTGTGTGTGTGTGTGTGTGAGACTACTCTGAAAAAGTACGGCTCATTTTAAGTGGATGCAAGAAGCTGTCCTAGAGAGTCCAAAAAGCACCTCGACAAGATAACCCTAAAGGCACGCTGGGGAATGGCCAGGTTAGGAGATTGGGACCATAGGCAGACCACAACGATGACGGCAACGAAGACGAGGAAAAACAAAGGATTTAATAGGATGAACAATAGCTCAGCGAGCACGTTTTAAAATTCTTTAAAATAAAGTTCGGATATAACGCGCGCTGTCATTGAATGAAAGAGCGTGCTCTATGAGAGTATAGAGCATAGAGCTTAGCTAAAGCTGTCACGCCATCTGCCAAATTGTACTATGTTCGACCTTTTCCGCGACTTCTTTTTAGCTTTTTTCCGATAATTGAAAGTGAAATCTCGGAACAAGCGAGCCGGCAAGTAGCAACAGAAGAACCAAACAAAGGTTTGTGAACATACCAGGCGCCGTAATTTACGTTATTTAAACGTGAGCAGATACGAAAATCCTCAAAGGAAAAAAAAAATAGACATTCCGAGTTTTAAAGATTTTCACGCTCAGTTAGATTGCAAGCTTACGTACGGAAATAAAAATCAAACACAGCTAACACTCGTATAGTATATAAAGTTCAGTGTTCAAATACAAAACTGAACAAAACAGAAATGATGAAAAATATAACCAAACTGGCATAACTGTTAAAATTCATTCTAATCATGACGGTGTCTGCGCGAATATGATCATGCTGAAGTCCATCGCGGCTCGCTTATCATGGCGATCTCCGGCCATCACAGTAAAGCAAGCCTCAGTAACTACATCGGCCGCCCTTCGAGTAAAAAAATAAGAGCTTGCTCTGATATCCTTTCCGATGCGTTGAGTGGAAAGTCACATCAGTCACTGCAGCCGAGTTTTGCAGTGCTGTCATCCCGAGCGATCTTCATGTTCCGGTGAATTCGGCTGTCGTTCACTCAAAATACACTCGCCTTGAACAGTTTTTTTCCTACCTTGTCATATGAAAAAGCTCGCGCATTTTTATGAGCCATAATTCGGCTGAAGTTCACTGAACATTTCACTTCAAGATTTTGTATTAGAGACTTAACTTCAGGCTAAAGTGTTAAATTCGACCCGCCGAACTATTTTAGTTTGTAAACTATCGCAAAATGTAAACTTTGATGGTTTTTGAACTTTGATGGTTTGACACTTTTTACAGCTTTAGTCTTGTACAGCCAATCAGATTACTTGAACCATTCTGACAGGGATTCTGATTGGCTTATTGAAGCGTGCTTTATGAGAGTATAGAGCATGCTGACGACACTGTTGTTCGCTTTGGGAATAAAATTTGTTTTGAAAATTGAAAGTAATGCTCGGGGAATTTAATGGATTCTTTATTATAAAACAAATAGAGAAGCCTTGACTGTGCTCTGTTCTGTTATAAAGCACTTAGGAAGCGGCTAGAGCGCTCAAGAAGTGGGAAGAAACACTCGACTACGTCTCGTGTTTCTCCCTACACTTCTTTCGTGCTCTAGCCGCTTCCTGCGTGCTTTATAACAGAACAGATCACAGTCAAGGCTTCTCTATTTGTTAATTAAATTTTGTAGCCGTCCTTTTCAAAGCAACAACGTGAAATCACTGCGCTTCGTTCGCTTACGTTGTAGAGCGCTGAACTACGGTGCAGGAGGTCGAGGGTTAAGTCCCAGACTGGACCAACACTCAGAGTCTTAAAATAACTTAAGACAATGTGCTGCCTTTTACACTGATATCGGTAAATAGTAAGACATTCTTATCCTCTCAGATATGAACGATAAACGTAGACGCCCCGTCTTCTGCATATACTCTATACTGGTTAGCAGGGGCATTATAGAACCTACACTCTTCTTGAAAAGGGTAGGGAACGTAGTTCCCGGTGTTGTTGTCTGGTCTTGTCATTGTTTACACAGGCCCACAATTTAACCAGCTTTGAGCTGAATTGGGTCAGCCTGTCTTAATATTGCAAAAACACATACATACGTACATGCATATAAAATTTGGATGCTCTAAGAGCGCAAATTATTTAAGTGTTCAACACTTTATGCTTAAGTTAATGTTTAACGCCTTAAGAGACGGAAACACATCGAGCCGAAATGATGTGCAGAAAAAGCGGAACAGCTTGTACCGATAAGTGGTAATTAAGTGGTACATGACGGCAAATCAAGCCTGGGGATGGTTTATGATGTTTAATAAGGATGAATGATATCTAACGACGGTTTGTGATGTTTAATGAAGGTAAATTATGTATGTTGACTGGGATTCAGGGTCCTTGACGGACAATGATGTCCAATGACTAATGCAGTTAAATCCCCCCAGCAAGCGCTTCCTGTAATTGTGGTAAAATTACTGTCCCCATGAACAAAAGGAAACTGCCAAATCTTCATTTGTCGTGAAAAGGCTACATATATTCGTGCTGTAAAAATTTTGCGATCTTGTCCTACCTTAGTGCTAAATTGTTACTGTTTAGTACCCACAAAAAAATAAATAAATAAAGCAAAACAAAAGCGTTGAGTTCCCGTACAAACCCTTTAAATACAGTCCATGTAACCATAGTTAATCGAGGGGACTCGATTAACTATGATGTAACGGAGCATCCTTCGCAAGCATAAGACAGGATAACATTCATTTATGGCACGATTGAAGTATCTGTGACACTACAACTATTTTAAAGGGGAAATGACGTTTATATAACCACGGGCACTACATATACCTCGATATACCCCCTACCAAACATATTTAGAGTATACATACATCTGTACTCTTCAACTCGAAAAGATCATTCGTTTGGCTGGGTGAAATTCTATATGAATTATCAAAAAGGGGCATATTTTGTACTGATGTGAATTTTAAGCAGCCACTGTAGAAAATTATCTCATAATGGGATGAAAGTATTTGCCCAATACCAATAATCAAACAATTTTTATTCTACGAGTATAAATTAAGCCATAGGTGTTTAGATGGCCTTCCCTCATACTTAAAACATTTCTATGAAACAAAGGTATCACAGAAGCGTCTCTGTTAATTTTTTACTCCAGCTTAAAGGGTGAACACGACCGCCTAATAAAGGTGACCGCTTAATGGAGGAGAAAATTGCAGTAATTAAGGGAAACAATTTCGGGACTTTGATAACCGCCTTCTAATACGGTTCTGCTTGATACAGGTTTGACTGTAAATTGTGTCGTTTCTCTTCTAAAACTATCACCCGCGACCCTTATTCGATCCCTTACTGTTTACGAAAAACAGTATTGTAGAGTCCCCGCTAGCTTGAATTGCTAACATCCAGCCGTCTTTACTTTACACTTGGTCAATAACGCATTTATCTTGAATATAATGACAAATTGAAGCTTCAATGAGGGTTTTACTCCTGCGGGCCAATTATACCATTAAACAAGGAAGCGCTGAAACCCGTCCGTCATTTTACTAAGTTGTTATTCAGTCCTTTTGTCAAACAGAGGCTGTTTGACAAAAGGAACTTGAACTTGGTTCGAACTTGTTTTGTTTTTATCATTGTTTTCTGTGAAGAGCCAAAAAAAAAAAAGGACTCCTTATTAAACACGCCATTGGAAGAACTTCATAAACAGCCACCGCTTTGGGATTAATAATTAATCACAATAGGAGATAAAATTTCTCCTTTTTCTCATTGCGAGAGATAAGCATCTTATGGGTGACAGTTTTCACACGCTTTTGACAATCTCTTTAAAGAGTGAATTAATGTCAAAAGAGGGCTAAGAACTTTCTTTCTGACAAGCTCTAAAGATGAGGCGCTGTCGCCGCCGCATGTTTTCTTTCTCATTTCTGTTTTTTTTGTTCGGAGGCTGGTTTTACACTTTAACAGTTGCAAACCATGGTGAGTTAACTTTAACATTCTTTTCGCGTGTTCTATGAAAGTTTTTACAGATTCTTTAAGGCTGGCTTCCCTTCTCTTGGTTGTTTGCCTGATGTGTGGGAGATGTGTTGTCCCAACGATCATTGCTTTCGACTTTTAATCGAAATTTACGAATACGCGAAGTAGCACGGCCCTTGCACTATGTTCTTGAGAGATATATTTTATCCTTACAGTGCATTTCGCCATCCACACGTTAAAACAGGTGCTGGCAACTGTTATGATAGTCTGACTAAATGTTAAAGGTTTTAAATCGGCTCTCAAACTAATTCTAAAGGACAATGTATTTTAAAGTCGATGATTACTTGTTCCTAAGAGATAATATGCGATACATTAAGATGCAAGAACCCAATTTGAAAAATTTGTTGAACCAATATCCATTTACATGCAGTTCATTGACACTGAAGGCAACTCGAGGCGAGCACGCAATTTTTTTTAAATGTAAGAATTTATCTATATTAATTCCACCATTAAACTATCGATAAATATTGAGAGCTAAAACTCAGAGGAAAAAAATAATTTTTCGTGATTATCGTCAACGATTCATATGTTTGTCCTCTAAACAATCGAGCTTGCGGAAAAACACTGATGAACAATTCATCAGAACAGATATGACCCTCATCAGACTTGAGTAACTTGAGAAAAAGGAAACAAATAGAATTATATTTGAAACGAAAGTTTTTTAGTTGTCCCGGCAAGAATTTCCCAGTGATTCTTAAAAGTAAATCATAATGTTAGTGTACGCAACTGGTATTCAAAGTCTGAGAGGTACCACACATCGTCGCATATCATTGTTGGACTTTAAATCGGTCTTCACGCACTACAAAATTAGACTGTTCTTTCAAATTATCGTCTAGAAAACGAACAAAGCCAGTCTCAAGAAATGCTTCAAAGGTGTTGCCAGAAAATTCTGACTAAACCTGAAAAAAAACCGCGTGGATGGTTTCGCTTAGTCCAAAGAAAATACGACTACACATGCATTTCATTAACGTGCAAAACCACCAAATGTCTCATTTTTTCGTTTACGTTCCTTTTTAATTTTTCTTAGAGTGAGGTGCTTGTAAGAACTTTGACTTTTTCTAAAAAATTTTTTGTATCTTCTGCCAAAGGTTTTAGCTTTTCAAAAATCACAATAGAAGGTAATCATGGACGTTTTTGAAGATTCATTATCTGTGCCATTGTGCTTCCAAAAAAAAAACCAATGGCAAAACAAAAAAAAACCATAAAAACAAACTCGTCAAAAGACTGCATGGGTTGAAAAATTATGAATCAGGCTCCGGTTGTTCGAAAGATGAATAACGCTATCCACTGGATAAATCTCAATCTGTTGGAGAGCACAATATGTTATATAACATAGCGCGTGAATTTCTCTGATCAAATTCAATTGCGTGAGCATGCTTCATATTCCTATTGTGCACGCTCATGACGACAGCTACCAAATCCCTCGAGAATTTTGTAATCAATCAGAAAATAAAGTTTATTTCCACGCATGATTTCACCTGTCGGTTTTTTGACCAATCTAAGACAAGATCGTTTATAGCGTAGCGAAATGTTTTCCTGAAACAAAATTACCAACGCGCAGAAGCGTAGCAGAGGGAATATTAACAACATTTAAACCATCAGGTTAAAATTGTTATGAAACGTCAGTGGTGCGTTCATCGAGATATGAAGCACTTGGGAAGTTTGGAGAGCACAAAAGATGCGTAAGAGTTGCTCGAGGCGTAGCTTTACAATTGTGAGTTGTTCACACTTTTCCGCTGCATAGCGATTTACCAGCTGGATAGAGTTATCCACCCTTTGAACAACTGGGCGCAATTGCTTTTTACTTTGCCGCTGAACGTAAGTGATCCGATCCCTATCTTGTGCACCCCTGCCTGACTTATAGATGATTGTCGACGTCTCAAGTTTCTGGAGCCAATAGATGGATTTGCATTGATAGGCCACGTCATTAAAAACATTTCATTACCAGTCGGAATGCATATGTATAGTCACTGCAGAAACTGGTGTACCATGGAAGACAGATGTACATCGATCAACATGGTACCACGAGAAAAAGATGAAATGATATGCCAGCTAAGTGACTCGGACCAACTACAACACCCAAATGATCTGAAACCGACGGCAGGCTTAATGTATAGAGGCACGGAGGTAAGAATTGTTTGCTGTTCGTCAGCCTTGTTTACCTTTCAAGCAATTTTCTTAAACCCTCTGCGAGTCCTCACCGAACCAGATTAGGAGAATTCATGAGAAAAGTTTTCAAATTGGAGCCTGAGAGCATTGCAATCGAACAAATATTAAAAAAAGATAGCCTTGGGTGCCCCGTAGGATTCATCAGCATAGATCGCCATCGATTACGACAGCCGTGTAGTAAATCACCTGATCATCATCTGTCGTTAGTGCAAAGTGGCTCAGCAATTATAGATATTATGAAATAATCAGCGTGAAAAATCAAAGAACCTCTAGCTATATTATTTTCCACCAGAATAAGTGCTACTTCAACAAGTGCTGCAACAACGCAACTTGCCTGGTTGGATTTACGGACAAGGGATATCAGTGTATATGTCTACCTGGATACACAGGAGAAAATTGCGAAGGTAAGACTAGGCTGCGCGTGCGCTGTTATAAATAGAGATTACTTCATGGAAAATGCGTGCGTACGATTTTCATTCACGAGTTGTGTAGTATCAGAAAACGAACGAGTGAGCGCAGCGAACGAGTGAGTTTTCTGATACGTATCAACGAGTGAATGAAAATCGTACAAAGCATTTTCCATGCTGTAATATGTTTATTTCATAGGTGCTGAGATTTTTTCGTGTTGTCTTTGGTAAACAAATAACACAAATGGGGCGATGAAAAGCGTAAAAAGTAGTTTAAAAATTTCTCAACAACAAGTTAATAAAAGTGCATAAAGTTCATAACACTTAAGCTTACCTGTGTTCACAAAGACCAAGTCGTTGATTATGCTGGCAGAATAGCCCTTTTTCTTCAAATGTCGTTCGAAGCTGGCCATTAAACTTCGAAGCGAAGTCGGCTCGTACTCGTTGCCATCTTTAGTGCGTACGGAGATAATAAATTCGCTTATGAATTCATTCAATTCAGCCGCTGGAATATCTTCAATTTTCCTGTCTTCGTCATTCTTCAACTGAGTAAATAGAAGCGAACCTTCCCTCGGCCATTTTTCAAAGCGCGCGGGTTTTGTGCAACGGCTCTCGCATGACGTTCTCTTCAGTACGTTCATTCATCATTAGTGAAATTTCGTCGTTCGCGTTGCTGATTGGACGAACGATAATTTTCATGGTGAAATTTTGTCGTTCGTACTTCTGATTGGCTACATTTAGAATCAGTACGAATTTTATTCACTACGATTTTTGTGGGTAAATCTCAGTATCTATGAAATAATCATGTTTACTTATACACATCGCCAGAAATCAAGGACATTTCGAGCTAGCTAACAATTATCAGCGGTATGTCGTATTACACTCCGGAACAATAGAATATCAAGAGAATTCAATATGGCGGCGATCACGGTTCGATCTGCAAAGAAGAGTGTTTCGTACCATGACTTACACAATTTGAGCACCGCAGATCTTCTATTTGATGAAAAGAAAAAGAAAAGAAAGGCCTTCAAGTTAATCTTTGGGATTTTTCGAGGCAGAGCGATGACATGATGTCAGAATTTTGGTTTGCTTTAATTTAATTTTCGCGCTAATACTACTGAATTTGCATTCAATGCCTGGCATATTTTTATTCCGAAAAGGACCGAGAACTAATTTATTTCCCTGCAAGAACATAAACAAATATGGTCGACGATTCGAAGATCAGCGTTGCTCGTGTTTAACTATTTCAGTCATAGTTTTCAACATGGCGTCTCGTCACTTACTCAACATGGAAAATAAGGGATATTCTGGCGCGTTGGGAACTTTTTTGATGGGAGGAAATGATAATTTTACAGGATATTTGGACGCTTCGAACTCTGTAGCAGTCAATTCGATCGAGAGCAGTTGACTTTATTGATGCACTTTCCTGTAATAGGCAAGTGTTTGGGATGGAGAACGACGGATTTTGAAGAACTGTATGGCGACCTAGGTCAATGATCAATGACAAAAGAACTGGCTCGGGAAGTAAGTGGTTTTTATTTATCGAGTCCCTGTGAGGTTTGATGAATAGCAGAATCAGTACTGAATATGTCTCGATCGAGAGCAGACGGGACCATGAGCTCCTGATTGTTATATTTTAGAAATTTACAAATTTCCATACAGTTTCTTATATTATTTGGACGCCATTATGGACGAAATGCGCAAGCGCGGCCGCCATCTTGTCCAATATTTCTGCCGATGTCTATGCACCTCTATTGTTTCCGTTTTGGTCTCGTCTCGTATGCTTCTAAACGCCGTCTAGTGACTTCTGAGTCATCTTACACACATTGTGTCCTTTTAGTTTTAGTTTTCTTTCACAAGTTGAATTTGGAGTCTCTTTTATTGTCATAAAATTACTCACGAGCCGTTTCAAACCTACCTATTTTGTTTTCTTTTGGTCTGCACTCGTTCAGGGTAACTGTTTCCCTCTCGGGGACCTTCTGGCAGAGCGCAAAACCGACCAAACACTTAAACTGCGGTTGCAAGGAAAGGTTTAATGGCTATGGAAAAAACTGTAGAGATCACAATGAAATCTACCCATCTAAATTTTTCCAGGCATCAAATTCAGCAGATTCATAGTCCTATATTATTTTTTGGTACATGTCTAAACGTGACGAGTGTGCGGGTGCACCAACAGCGTCAACCATTTTCACAGACTTTTCATGTGTTTACTATTGCCGAGGGTGCAGTGGCTGCAGATGCTAGAAAAGGAGGAAAGGCCGCAGGAAAACGCGGAATTACATTTAGTTTTATTTACGGTTACCGGTTACCTCGCCACCAGGGAGACTCGCCACCAGCGAACTCGCCACCAAGGAACGATCTCGCCACCAACGTACTCGCCACCAAGCGAAGTCTTCTCGCCACCAACCACCAATAAAGAGATAAACTAGAATAAAGTAGTCGAGGAGAGTAGGATGTTCGAACGAGCACAATTCAAATCGGCCGATACGTTTGTGCGCTTGTCTGTATTTAAATTATGACCTTCAGCAATGTGTTAGATGTGTTCCGTTCCTAACTCATTGACATCGAAACGTATCGTGTTTGTCTTTTGCACGTAAGCGAGGAGAAATTGCAAAACTTGATGCGAGGAATAAAAACTTACTTCGGTTTCGAACGTGCTATCGACAACATACATTTATAAAGTTTGAGTACAGACAAACGAACAAACTTATCGGTTTCGAACATGCTTTCGACAACATACGTTTATAAAGTTTGAGTACAGACAAGCGAAGAAACTTATGAGCCGAACATCCTACTCTCCTCGACTAATCTCTTTATTGGTGGTTGGTGGCGAGAAGACTTCGCTTGGTGGTGAGTACGTTGGTGGCGAGATCGTTCCTTGGTAGCGAGTTCGCTGGTGGCGAGTCTGCTTGCTGGCGAGGTCACTGGATACCTTATGTACAAGCAACACAGTTGGCTCAAGCGTACCTTGTACAATTTTGGGGTTGAAAGGTCATTAACAGGAATATCTAATTCATACGCTGGATATGAACGGGAGCCTCATTGTCCGTTGGTATTTAATCACTCTTCGGCTCACTGAGTCGATATTCCTTAAGTAGTGAACGACTATGGGATAAATTTAGATCGAATTTCAGTCGTTCGCGTTTGCCGTAAATAAAATGAGATAAAACAAGATAAATAATCATGTTAATAAACGCGCCATAGCCGCCTTATCTCTTCAGGTTAATTTCAACATTATTTTGTCAACTTTGTTCGTACCGGGAATTGTGCATTATAAAAATAGGGAAAGCAGGTCATTTCGAGCACCAACCGTGGTCAATCCAAGACCAATAAATTCCACATCAGTCGTCTGATCTCCTCCATATTGAACGAGTGCAAGAAATATCCTTAGAGGTGCTTTTCTGGTGACATTAGTAATACCTTAAATGCTGTTTTACAGATGTCGATGAATGCCAAAATGGTATCCATAAGTGCATCAAGGATGTGGCAACATGTGTAAATCAACTTGGATCCTACCATTGTATTTGTAATCATGGATACACGGGTGACGGAAAAACCAGTTGCATACCTGATGGTGAGTTATTTTTTATCACGTACCAGAAAAATATGAGGAAGATAAATATCGGAAAAGTTTGATTCATAAAACCAATATTTCTTCCAATGACTTCTTCTGATTGGTTGAGAGAGTGTTGTTAGTTGTATGGACCAATCACAGAGCGAGGTAAAGCAAAAGCAATGCAATCCGGGTTACTCTCGACACTCCATTGAAAAATGGTCTTAAAGATATAGGTAGTGTTTGTAGAAATCAATTTGTCATTAATGATTACTTAGAATGTCGAAGATACACAAAATTGACGGACAAGACCAGGAAAACCACGTACAAAACCAAGAACAAAAAATGCGACAAACACCTTGGTCCTGGCTGGTTTCGTTTCCAAGGAAATGCGGGAACAAAGATGCCGACTAAATGTCTATCCATGTCAAGATGTGGTACTTATGGAACAGGTTGGCTGCGCGGCACTCATCCATCAGTGGCTGAAGGCGCAGTTGACAGAACAGTTTGCTTCCGATATCATAGTTGTTGTAAATACTCCGTTATTATTCGAGTGAGGAACTGCGGGTCGTACTATGTTTACCATCTGATTAATACCCCAGCCTGTACTTTAGGCTACTGTGGAACGGGTTAAAAAAGATCAGAGCTAAGGTATGATTACCATATACCCTTCAAAATTTGATTTCTCATTTCTCTGGCCTTTGGTAGTTCCAGAGAACATTTAAATAAATCGTAAAAATAGAGAGGGGTGGGGGTGGGGGTGGCAGGGCTTCCTTGACCTCCCGCTTTCTCCCCCTTAAAGTAGTGTTACCCTAGCTTCACTTAGTTTCAAACTTGAATGATAGAGTACAAATTAAAGGCAAGTACTTGGAATTTTTGTGGTATTGTCTACTCATGAATATCTTCTTACGAGTATGTACTGTTGTAAAGCCTTCCAAAATACTCTGCTTCAGCTCTATCAAACCAGTCCTTAGTCGCTTTTAACATAACATCGAGCTCGCAGCACGCATAGCGAAGTCCCATACTTATCAAAAATGGTAACATTAGTAGCAGCGGAGTTCACAGCGTGCTCAGCCTAATTCGCTCAAATTATAAGAGACGGTTAGTCTCACAAAATTTGCGACATGCTTGGATTCTGATGAACGATAATTTTGCTGCTGGTGCAGGAAACTTCATAATCAGCCTCTGTAATTGAAAGTCATAGCAGTTTGAAAGCGTCAGGTGTGTGTTCGTGTTTTGTGCCCACAAACATGCAGGTAACCACTCGATGAGAAGCCTTGAAATTTTTCAATTCTAGGTTAGCGTATCGATTGCACCGATCCAATTGTCCCATCGAGGTATGTATAGCGCCAAACAGATTGCTGCATTAGTGTATGTATCTTGCGCTGATCAGGTATGCTGGCTGGAATCAGTTTCATGTCTATCATGTCATGGCAAAATGTTGTACAGAATTAAAACAACGTTTTTGCACACTTACAATGGCATTAACGAAGAATTGTTTGCTCATCTACCCAGATTTATGGTTCACATGTCCTTCGTGAGAACCTTGTCGCTATCATCTGTCAGCATTAGAAAGGTCGGCTGGGAATTTTTGAACCATTTAGAAGTTAAAACGTGGATTTTGCACCACTCCCTAGGTTACAAAGCAAACGCCATGCAGCGTTTGTTTTAGAAGGGCTAGTTTTGCTGACTCTGCAAAGCACTTGCCTAAAGCATATTTGATAGATTGTCTTGTTTTTGCCTCGTTGTTGCTCGTTAGACAATGATAAAAAAGACGAGCAAGCTCTATTCACTTTCTGCTTCTGCTTCGATGTTTCACAGCCTTCCATTTTATTTATTGATATTTTATATATTGCCACTGATATTTTATATATTGCCACTATTGATTGCTCTTTGCCCTATTAATTGGCACTCTTCTGGCAGACAACCTTGGCTCTACGACATAGTCTAAGATATAATTTTCTAAATAGTTGCCGTAACACTACATTTAAAACCACTTCATCATGGCCAAATAAAAAAAGTCAATCATGATTGTTTCACAATGGCCTCTCGCTGACGCGTGATAAGGAAACAAAGCTTTCCTTGCAGAAAAAAAACTGATAAATGCACTCAGTGTATTGAATAAATATCTTATCTCTGCATTTTATTGTTTTTATCAGCGAATTATCCCTAGTAGAACAAATATATAAATTAGCTTCTCACGATCATGTCACAGTGGCCTCTCGCAGATAGACAATGAAAAACAAATGAGTATGAGCATTAGGATGAAGATAGGGATGAGCAGGGGATGAGGAAAACAATGAGAATGAAGGTGAGGATGAGATGAGGATGAGGACTAAAAAGATGATTGGGATGAGGTTAGAGATGAGCATACGAAAGGATGAACTTAGGAATACGGAATGTAAGATGGGAAAACTCCAAGACCACATAACTGATTTTATCGGTGTAATATAGTTTGCATGACTAAGAGCATAATATAAACCCCCCAATATACATCTGCACTTCAACAATTTTTATCTTTAGGCTGACGCAAACCTGGTTGAATGAAATTTTACGCGATTTCCGCGAAAGGCTAAGTTTTACGTTGCTATGGTAGAGAAAGATCCCATAATACCAACAATTAAACAATATGTTTTGTCGTACTTGTGCAGATAATGTTACAATTGGTTATATGGCCCTCTCTCATACTTCAATGACCATGCTGGATTCTTCGTTTTCATCGCTAACTTGTTCATCAGTTCTCTGACAAAATTAGGGGTTGTCCTGGTGTACCGGTACACGGGGGAATTCCTATTGTTTTCATATCCATACATGCAGTTGTGACGCAGTTCGTTAATGTTTCGCTCCTTTGCGTACCGGTACGCGAGGACACAACCCAAAATTACTCTATAAGTAATGAGCAAATACATGAGATGCTTCTGAGATGCCTTTATTTCATGGAAATGTTTTGTATTCCTGATTTTATTACGACCAGTTTTACGGTCTAGTAAAATTCCTTCAAATAGCTGGGAATAAATAAATAACACCGTGCAGTAAACAGATATCTCGAGAAAGTTTGTAAGAAAAAGGACGTGAAATTCTCGAAGAGTAATCTGGGTAATATATTAATTTTTAGAAGTCAAATAAATAAGTAAATTAATCAAACCTGCCTTGCTTCGTCCTACTGTGACGTTTTCTGATCTGATTTTTAATTCTCCCCTCTAACACTTCCTTGTAAATAAGTAATAAGAGTTTTTTGTTAGATCAAGATAACAACTTCTACTTGATAAGTTTGAATATTCTCATCATCTGTTTGCTGGATAATGTAAAACATCAGAAGAATAAGTTTCATGTTGACCACTTTTGGGAGTTAAAGGATTAAGGAACCGTGACCCGAAAAGGACCCACAGTGCCTTCAGGGCTTGTTGCGTGCATTTGTATGCTTTTTTCATATACAGCTACTTCAATTTACGTTGTTGGATCAAAGCTTCAAGGGTACGGGACATGACCGATTACCGACAACCTCATCCACTTGAAACCCCAACATTTCTTCAATCCAAATGGCTCGCCATCGGAGATCTTCGCTGTATGGACAAGGCATTGTTAATTTTGCTGATAATTATTCATTAAGATCCCATATTCCCCTTCGGTCTTGTCTTGTAGGCTTGAGGTTTTGATCCGACAACGTAAATTGAAATAGCTGTATACATATATGGTTTTCAATCTATCTGATCTACTTTCCAGTTTTTCACTCTACGTCTAATAACTCAAATATCATCAAAACACATCTTTGAATTCTTCTGAAGTCATTGCATTGCTACCTTTGTTTGACGTTTTGATGCACTACCTCTCTTTCTGATATTATTTTGACGTTGTACAAGTTTTCTTGTGTGTTCAGGGTTCACACACAATACACCAGTCGTACTTTTGGAACTCGACAACTCTGCATCTTACTTAGAACAACTCACATCTCTGTTTTTATCACTTTCGTTACATTAAACTTTAATAACCATGATGATATATAAAGAATAATACATGGGCGCGCGTGGATATCGAATTTCTCGTCGAGTGTTTACCTCGGTAGCTCACGAGTGAACGCAGCCAACAAGTGAGATGTCGAGTTGAACACGAGAAGAGAAATTTCATATCTACAAGCAATCATATATTATTTTGTTTATCATATAAACACAACAGGCCTTTACTGACATGAAAAGTCAATTTTATTAATGAATGAAAGTAAAAGGATCGACAATTCCCGAATAAAAATCGTAAAGCAGGTAGGCGCTAAGGTTCAAGATGAAAAAATGCGTTAAAACACTACAAAAACAAAACAATGGGCGTAATTTTCAATACACAAAATTCTCAGTTGTTGACTTGGTCCGTACCGACAGAAGAAATCTTTCAGGTACACGGCCACAATCGGCCTGTGGCAAATCTTCCAGTTGTCGATTTTCGTTCTCAGCCGCGAGAAATGCCATTACCAAAGCCACTTAATACGTAACTTTCGGTTTTTCTCTCCGTATTTTGGTTTTCTTCCGTCTCTGAGAAAGTATGAACGTCACTGTCTGTAAGCGATACAGATGTCTCTGTTTTAAGAGCCTAACCCTAATCAAATTCCGACAAACAATCTTGGATTGAGAATGGCGAGGGCTTTCTCGTTCATTCATTAAACTGACCAAGTGGTGCGAAAGGCGAGTGACGTGTCAACAACTGATTGGTGATATCAAACACACGTGAAAAATACGATATTTTTTCACGTCTGTTGTTACGGCTCTTCTAAGGGCTGGAAATCCTTGTATAACACCGTAGTTTATATGATTTATTGCGCCCATTTTGAAATCACTGGTGGTCCCTGTAATCTGATTGGCTCTCATTGCTGCCATTTATTCACGAATCACACCAATTTTTGCTTTAAACTGCATCTCTTTCCCAGCCAATGAGGAGGTTCCACTAAACACATAATAACCGATCAGATTTCAAGGCTTGTTTAAAGTAACCAATCACATTGCAGGAAAATGAAGACAAAGAGTATCGTGTGGCAAATTTTGCAACTTTTGTTTCCAGAACTCCTATTTCCCCTCCCCTCCCAAAATAGATGAATTTAACTTCAAAACTGGCTCAGTACTGCATCAATGAAATATTTGAACTATGCGAGTCCTATTTAGGCGATTTCAAAATGGATGTAATAAAGTGGTGATTGAACCTCGTGTGGTGCAATTTTGGTCTGAAATCCTACTTGTTATTTCAAATCGAACTCGCGCTGGGCGCTCGTTCGATTATGAAATCAAGCATATGTTTTCAGCCCAAATTGCACTCCACTGAGTTCAATTACCATTATAAACAGTATTTCGAGATTTAGTGCCAGGAGGGAGAAGAAATACTAATACGGCTGCCTCAAAAAGTATGTAGGTGTTCATGCCTCAAGTTACGTTTCAGGAGAAGGCGACTAGCTGCGATTGTTAAAGAGTGATGAAATTTCAAAAGGGGACAAAAGAATAGAAATCCAGAAAGTGAAAGGACAAAGCCCTCCACTGACAATTTCTTCAGCAAACAGCAAAGATGTCGCTAAAGAAGATACCTGAGTATGACTAAGGAATGGATATTTTAAGAAGAATAGACAGAGGGCTTGACCGTAACTGCTCGAGAACAAGCTTTAAGGTCGAATTCAATCAAGCATACCAAAGAAGAGACAGAAAGGGCAACACCGTGTAGATT